AAAAATTTTTTTTTGTGTTTTTTGAGCAGAGATAGGTATAGGCATTGCTTCATATAAAAGAAGTAGACTAAATTTCCTTTAAAGTGATGGGTGAAAAAAGTTTATTAAATAAAACGGACTGAGATAAAGCCCCTATTTTTTTTTCGATTTTTAATATGTTTTCGTTATGTTATGTTATGTTGGGAATGGGGTGTTAATACACTGCGACCTAAAACATCTATTGTGCCCCCTTCTGTCGCCAATGCACCAAGGAAATGTCTCAATGCTTATAACGACCCTTCCAATCCTATTTTCTCAAGGAAGTGTAGGATTTGAAGTGGCTTCAAGTTAGGTAAATCTCCCTCTTCTATTTGATATCTTCCTAGATATAGTGCCCTTGGATTCTGGAGTGCTACACATTCAGTTAGCATGTGAATTGAGGTTTCGTCCTCTTCCTCACAGAATCTGCACTCACTATCCTCTACTACTTTTAGTTTACTTAGGTATCATTTTAGTCGGCAATGCCCGGTAAGGATCCCTGTTACAATACGTAGCCTGTTCTTGCTCAGGCAGATGCAGGCTTAAAGTCTTTTCTGGTTATATTCACCCAGAAGTATCTTGGCCTGTCTCAGCCTCAAGAGATTGTTCCAATTATCGGTTCTTCTGCCCAATTATTTTTTAATCTCTCCTAATATTATGTTACTGCTGATACCGCAGAACGGCTCAGGTCTTACAAAGGGTGTTTAAGCCCCTTTCCTTGCAAGACTATCTGCAATCTCGTTACCCTGTACCCCGTTATGTCCCGGGATCCAAGTGAGAGTAACTCTATTTTTCTCGCCTAGCTCATTCAATTGTTCTAGGCATCTCCAGGCCAAGATGTTTGGGTATTTTCCCAAGCTTTCGGAGTGCTTGGTTATCGGCCCATATACTCCTATTCCAGTTCCTTCTATGGTTTTGGAACCGTCCGTATACCACTGAATAGCACGTCTTTCGGTTGCAAGCGCGATTCCTGTGTAACACCGGAATCACCTGAAAATCTAGAGAAGTTATAACGATTTTCGTTCAAGGACTTTTCAGCCAATTCCGACTCAGTTGAGACCTGTTTATAGATACGGGCCTTAATGTTAAATACGTCTCTAATGACGTCGCTATCTAACTACCTTTTTATTTTTTGAACTGATAAGAGATACAGCGTATTATTACGAAGGTTTTTTAGTTATCCGCATCAAAGATAAGGATAGCGACAAAACATAATTAGAAAGTTATTTTTTACGATTAGACAGGTTTACTGGTAACTTTAATTTTTCGCAATATCATGATTCCACAAACATTATTTATTTAGACCCAGAGACATTTTTCCACTAGAAGAGAGCTGTAAATGTCCGGTATAATTATAATATGAGGGTTGACAGTCAAAAAATGGTTCTAAAATGTTTTTTTTTAATCAAAACTCAAAGCATTTTTTAATTTTATGTAAACATTCCTGTTCTATTTATACATGTGGAAAAAATATGTAAAGAGACACTGAATGATACAGAGACACGCGAATTATTAAAATATTTTTTTGTTAGGATATTATTAAAAAATGTATTTGAAATTCTAGTCGCATAATTTAATTAATAATATTGCAACGGAAAAACTATACACATATACACTTAATGCCATTCAGCGATTTTACTTATCTCTATGTATATCAACTAGTGCTATAAATATAGATCGTACTTGTAAAAATTGCTCCTTTATCAGTATTATTAGATACCGAGCAAATCAAACAAAATTTTGATGTAAAACCAAACATAGTTTTAATGTATTTTAAAGTCCAGGTTATACGTTAAATTAAAAAATTGATTTCGATGAAAACAGTAAAAATGTTAAAAGTTAAAAGGTAAAAGTTCAGGCTCGCATTAATTCATTTCCCGCTTGTAATTTGATTAATTAAAATGTAATGTATACACGCTTTTAACTCTTTTGTAACAAGTAAGGAAAAACTGTGAGTATTTACAATGAACTCAAAAACGGATAAAGGGAAAAACACCAAATTATAAACCTAAGCTTTAATCCTTTCTGCGGTGAGCTGATTAGATTTTGGACAGGGCATAGGCGGAGCATCTGGAGGGGGTATTGATGAAATGAATAGCGAGGTGGGAAATTTTGTATGAGATTAATTCAATATCTTGGATTATTTCTCTTTCGTTAAAAGTCAGTTTTCTAAATACCACAAAATTTCCATATCTGTCACTGTTTATGAAAACATTTATAATATTAACAATTATAGAAACATTTCTATTTAAACACAATTTGCTAAAATATTTGAAACAACCTATTCACAGTGGTGGACTGTAGTAATTTAAAATGGGCGTTCAATTTTTCCAATAATTTTAGCATTTGTATCAAAACTTTTTAGAAGCACCAATACAAAGACGACCTTGCCAGCCAGGGTTGAAATAAGGGCGTAATCTTATAAGGAAAAATCGAGATTTTAACCGATTTTTTTCAGACAAGCATATGGAATATAGAAAAAGGTCTCGAGCTTATTTAAAAAATATAACCTTTACAAAACTGCACTTTGTCGACATAGTTCAGTTTACCTCCGAGGTACTAATATCGGTAAATATTGAATTTAGTCTTCATGGTATAGGTACATATCTAACATAGACACAACTATTTAGTGTTTTAAATTAATTTAGGACAGTGCAATATTTATTTTTTATATCGTCTTTAAAAAAACTGTAATGTAAGTTTAGCTTCCATTTTTTTTGTAGATATATTTGAGTAAAATCCTCACCGCTACATCAGTCTAAAACTGTTTAAGAGTACCTCTGGCATAGGTAGGACATATTTTTATAACTTCAAATTGATTAGGGAGAACCTACAAAATAAAACAATTATTTATATAAAATTGTACTACGGTAAGGACATTATCCTTGTTCAAATAAAATATATAATAAAATTATAACACTTCCTAAATATCTTCGGGTGCGCAATGATCTTTTTCGGCTGACAACCGCAATGTAAGATCTGTTTAAAGCTAGGTACCTACTTTATATCATTTCCAAAAGAGCCCATTTCTTGGTACCGTTTTAAATAAAAGTCAACTTAATAAAATCGGACAAACTCTAATATAATTAAATTTTGTCTCTATGAGATCTCTTCTGATGACATTGTATCCATTTATGCAAGTTAACTTCGTTTATGTATTTTGTAGGAAACAAAAAAATTGACAAATTTTATGCATAGTACTTACAGTTGGGTACAAAACACATGACTTATCTAAAAAATACTTTTATGTTTAAAATAATAGTTAATGCTTTTCCTTGGAGACGTTTTTCGGCAACAACCGTTGAATTGACACACATACTTCCGATTTATTAAAGTCGCAATTAAAATTGTCTTATGGGGATTTTATAATGTATTTAGAGTTTAATTGGAAACATATAGATATGATATGAAGTAGAGACCACATAAACACTATTTTGCGAGATGATAAGTGGACGCACTTTGAGTGATGGAAAAGTGTAATCAAAATGGCGACGTAGAGTCGTATTTTGATTAATTTAAAATTAATAATTTTATATTTGAAGATTGTGGGAATGAAAATTTAAAAAAATGGCATTTATTCTCACCAAAACTGACTAGTTCGAGTTTGACATTTGACGTAAAAATGTAGTACAAAAATGCTAACACTTTATATTTATAGAACTAAATCTGGTATTAGTAAATTCAGAAAAATTATATCTACAATATAAATACAGAGTGAGTCATTTAAAACATTATCCGATGACGTCATATCTTGAAAAATATAACAAACGGAAAATCTGCAAACACCAACAAATAGTATATAAAATATACCAAAACTTTTAATGGTAAAATTTTCGTATCAGTCATAATTAAGCCATAAATCAGGTGTTTTGGTCATTTAGTCCAACCATGTATTTAGAAACTAGTTCAATACCATTAGAATATTATAAAAACATATACGCATAGATTTGTTGCTTAAAAAGCCAGCATTATACGTTTAAACTATGAAGACTGTTAACACAAGTTCCTATGTTTATACATTTTCTAAACCGCCTTAACAATTATTAACCGACATCCTATCAAATTTTCGTTGTTCATATCACTTTTTGTTTTCAATGCAGTTTATTATCTTTAAAAAAATTTGCGACCTTCTTGTACTATCTACTATCGCTGATTTTAGAGTTAATTGGTAGATAGAGGTAGATTACCGGAAAATCAGTCGATCTGGCAACAGTTTGTTTTCAACTCATGATTTTATATCACGGATTATCTCAGATCAGAGGCGAAACCGGGAAAAGATCAAATGATTATTGTCAGGATTGGTATAAGCAGTAAATATGGTTCTAATTAATAGTGATGTTCCTAAAGTGGCAGTGGGAAATAGTAACAACGCCTACACATAACACACAAGACCTAATAGCTCTGATAGCTGAGGCCTCAAAATATTGGAGTAACCTTGTTTCACGTCATATTGACAGTTAAATTTGTCTGATAAACAGCAGAGAAAGTACTTTTGTTGAAAATTGCGATTTTAAATATAAAACTAATGACAACAGAGGATTTGGATTGTAATATTCGTTCAAGACAACATTTAGAACAAGGGGATGCGGATACAGAATATTATATACGGAAGAGATTCAAAAAAAGAAGGCGATTGGTGATTAAATTACCCAAGGAAAGAATTGTTTTGATTATAAATGTTATTGTTATCCAATTAAGTAGGTATAGTAATAATTTTGTTAATTCAGAATTAACAAAGTTTTACGTAACGAAAGTATTTAACATTAAAGAATTATAGAATGTAATGAATAGTTGATAAGAAATAAACATTTTTTATTCACTGAAGTCAAAAAAAGGGTGTACGTGGATAAAGTTTTTCACATAATTAAAAATGTTTAACATATTGGGTATTACAATATTACAACAGACATTAGTAATAGTTGTATGAATACATAATTATGTCCCTTTAAATTATTTTTAACATCTTTTTCTTTTGATTACAGAAAGGGATACACGAAACAAAATTAGGACAAATCGTACCTCCCAGTAGAAGTCTGAAAGTAAGTTGAATATAATTTTTATTAAATAATTTCATTAGAAATTAATTGAAACGTTCGAATTACAAATCATAACAATGTTTTATGGCTTAAATGTACAATAATTCAAATTTAAAACGTAAATTTATGTTATTCAATATTGAAATTGTTATTAAACAATGATATTATTGATAAAGCTTTTAATCGCAAACAATAAACATTTTGCAACCCTTGATTAGTGAGCTGGAAAAATTAATTGTTTGAAAATACTAAATCAAAATGGTAATTATTTATTTTATTTTAAAAAGACATAAATTCAATAAAAAATAGGTTGATATCTGTTTTACTCTTAACATTATTTTGTAAAGTGACTCTTCCGCTATGAAGGCTAAGATTGTTTTATAGGGTATTTATATAACTTGATCATAATTATTTTTGAGGTATAAGTACAGTATGTATATGTTATAAACAGTAAAACTATTGCTTTACAAAAAACAATAAATTAGCAGAACAAAAATAATTATAATATGTAAATAAAGCATAAATTAATAATATTAAAATATAAGTATAAGTACAAGACTTGCAAACTAATCAGAATCTGAATAATCAAACGCATCAAAATTTTTCAAAACATTAACGGCTGTGGTTAAACTATTGCTGCACCCATATTGATAGGAACTATTCTATTATTTTTAAGTAAGGATTCACCCCGCGAGCAATGGCATAAGTTATTTTTTTTTAAATACCTTGTATACTCCTCTTAAATGAAGCTATAAATTACCGATGTAGATAACAACATTATCATTAAATAAAGGCATATAATAAGAGAAGCAACTCTTGCTACACCTTTTCTGTGCCATACTGCCCTCATAAGTAGGGTTGCCAGACGTCACGCTTTTGGCGTGGCTGCCACGCTTTTTGACTTGCCTGTACGCTTTTTATGCAAATTCCACGCTTTTTAAAAGCCGCAGAGGAATCGGATTTATATAAAAATAGAGAAATATCTGGGTAAAAGACTCTCGTTTTTACGAAAATAAGCTGAGGACCTTTTTTTAGAAATGTTCACAAAAAATGGACCTGATTATATAAAAGTGCTCTATCGTCACGGTTGCCACGCTTTTCACTTCCGGACTACTCATAAGCCAAACCCCCGTAACTGATAAATTACAAATAATTGAGGTTATTTGACTATTCTGATACTAACGCTTCTTAAAAAGTAAACCAAATACCGGTATTATTTATTCTGTACCCTAAAAAGTCAACTGAATTCTACAACGTAACTAATATTTTTGTAGAGCATGCTTACCAAAACTCTTTTAACCCACAAGCCAACACCAAAAATTAGATGAAATTTATTTGTAACTAGTTAAAAGCATTATCCAAAAATTGTCTTTAATTCAACAAATGATACTACCGATCAAAATGCGTACATTAGTAAATTTCTTCTGTTGCAAATATCTCATTTCCATAGTTTGCGTAGTTACTGGGGTTTTGTTTATGATGACACCATACAGGTGCAGGAACAGATGCAATCATTTTTTTTGCATTTGCAAATTTTCCTTCCACAGTCTAGAACAGAATAATTTTATTAAAATTTTGTACGCATATGAAAATTATCGGTATATGGTACCCAGAGTCTTGGGAGTGGGTATTAGACTATTATCTTGATCTATTTTCCATCCATAATATTCAACATCTGCGACTTTAAAAAGCTGAGCCAAATGCGTATCTGGCAAAATCATCCTGAACAATATAATCTTAGGGCCTCTTCAGTCAGTAACAATTTAGTGATAGTACGAGAAAAAATGGCATTGATCCTCTCAAAATGTTAATGAAAGTCACATTGGCAGTTTTTGAATAAAGTTTTATGAATAAATGTTTTAGATTAGAGAATATATTTTCAGAGTACTAAAGTGCCAAATCCTTCCAAAAGGTGATTGTGTTCAAGGTGGGTTTTCCAGGCATTCGTTTAGGTTTTCAACCAAATTTAAGTCATGTACTGATAGGAATCGTCTCGAGTCTCCTCGCCCTATTGTGAACCATATCTTTTTAATCAAAAACTTCTTAAAATAAATTAATAAGACTAGAATATCTTTATCGTTGCAATCAACCCCTAATTTTTGGTTAACAACATGTACATTAAGATACGAATATCAGCATCGCGATTTAAATTTAAGAGATCGTCTTTTGATGGTTCAAAATTTGTCCAATATTCATTGATATTTGCTAATTCGCCACTAATTACAAATTTAATATGCTTTTGCTGAATAGAATGTTTAAGAAGTTGCCCTGACAGAAAATGTGTTAAACGTCTTTTGTTTAATATGGAATAAATGAGCAAGTTTCATTGTTGTGGAAGTGGATTTTTGGGATTGTATTTTTCTTTACAATGATCAAATACCGCATCTGCCCTTTGAGCATTAAATGTATATTCTTTAAATGATGTACAACTTTTGGGCTATCTCAAGCCTTGAACTATTGTCATCTCATCAAAAATATGACAAATTTTGCCAGAGTTAGTAGACGCAAGTAAGTTTTTGTATGTAACTTCATTTGGCTCTAAAATATTTTCCAATGAACTCTTATTTCTGAGAGTACCCATTTACTGTTAGAAATATCGGACAGGCTGTTAGCTCAAACTTAAATATTTGCTTTGATTTTTTGAAGAAGCTGTTGGGTATGTAAAGATTGAGAAATTGGTGAGTTTTTGAGTTTTTTGTTCATCGTTCTTTGCATTTTCTATAATGGCTTGTAAAAATCTGGAAAAACTCCTCAAAGCCGTTTGACTCTTTTTTTGCTGTTAATTTTATGGCCTCTACTTCTGTACTGCAAATTTATTTAGTTGAAATCGAAGTTAATTTCGTTGATCCATAATTAAAAACTTTAATTTATTAAGCAGTTCCACTAAAGTAACTACCGATTTTTTATCTAGTGACATTCGTTTTTTTCCGAGTTCTATAAGTTAGATTCTCGTTGTTTGAAAGAAGACTTAACAAAAATGTGTCTGTCATAATACCAATTACGTTGAAGCTTAAATACCACTCATACAATCTGGTGCTGTTGTTGGTCAAATAATAACTACGGCATCTTTTGCCGTTTTATTGACATATTCCTCAGCTTTATCCACTGAAATTCTGTCATAGTTCCCACTCAATCTCTTGACAACAAACTTCCCTTCCATATATTCTTTATAAACAGCAGGAACATAGGATATTTGAGTGAAATTTTTCTCGCTCTTGTAAAACATGGAATATAAAATTAAAATATTGACCTCTAGTTTTCAGATACCCTGTTTATTGCATCAACAAGCACATTGCATTGGCGAGGTGTAACAACATCCCTATTTTGATATCATTCTGCTCTTTGCTTCTTGCAACAAAAAATTTAAAATTAAAAATATTCTTAAAACTTACCAAATACAGGGTGTTTCAAAAAAGGTGGCTCAGTTACTAGGTTAGATAGAACACTGCAAAATAAGTTGGATTTGCTCAATAAAAATTTTTCGTAACAGCATCCGTTTTCAAAATACATGGTATTAAAAAAAAATATATACATTTTTTACGATTATGTTGAAACTCTGGGCAACATTAATGAAATTTTTGGCTTTGGCTTTTACTTGCCAAATTACACATTTTCTTGAGAAATGTTTACTTAGAAACTTATGATTTTGGTTATACCGAGTGTCTCAAATAACTTATATAATATTTAATTATTACACTACCAATCCATCGATTCGGATAATGGTTACTCAACCAATTACGACTCCTTTTATCAAAGTGCGGGGAGCTCCATTATGCATAAAAAGATATTTTCTCTCGTTTAGTGTTAAATCTTCGAATAAATTAATTTCTGAAAACTCGAGGTACATTTAAGATTTTCAGGTAGAATCTGTTAGCCAATTACTTTGTTACCTAAAGTTGCTACCCAAATATACACTTTAAACGAGTGTTGGTAATCTGATACTCATGTGGATTTTCATCACACCAGTAGTGTGTATTATGACAGTTAAAATTGCTTGTCTCGTCGGTAAAAATTGAGATTGAGGGCTGCCCTTTCTTGTAACGTGTTACAAAAATAAACTGTATCCAGTAGATCGTTTGGCAAGAGCTCTTGAACTTGTCTTAAGTATCCTCCAAGTACTTGCAGAAGACGTGTTTGTTTGTCGTGCAACATTCCTTTCGCTAATTGTTGGATCTGCATCAACTAAATTTAAAATGATATTCTCTTTCTGAATGGTTCTTGTTGTTCTAGGCCTACCAGAATTAATTTTTTTGGTCTCATATTCGTGTTTTTATTTAGTATGTTTTTTCTGGGAAACTTTTCTGCATACCGCGTAACCGCTGCACTAGCGTTTCTTAAACACGTGCCTATGCGTTAATGTGTTAATCTGCACATGAAGCCCAACTTTCAGGATACAGAAAAAACTGTCTTGATTAATACAAAAGTGTCATAGAACAACATATTTTAACAAAATGATTCTCAGTATTCTGCAAACTGTTTTTTTAATAAATCGTATTTAAAAAAAATATTTGTTTTCTACATCCATAAAATGGAGTTAGCAGTTTTGAAAATTCTCTTTACGAATAAAAATCGCGGAGATTGCAGTATTTTTTATTAACTTAAATTGCAATGACATTGAAAACATTAAAAACAAAAGTAAAAACTTAAAATAAAATATTTTCGTTACAAAAACATATAATTTTTTATTATGTTATTATTCATGTGGCAAATCATTGTAGAAGCCATGATAATGGGCTGGTAAAGTTGATCTTGGAGATCAGAATATTTTTGTACTGAGTTCTTGTCGTCTTCGCTGAGGAAGAATCGTCCATTCTTCCAACAATTGCAGTTTGTAAAATATTTCACCCTCGGGTGTATACTTTAAACCACGAATTTCACTAACCTAAAATAAAAAAATATTAATTTAAGGAACTAATAAAAGACTAAAGACAACATTAGGAATAATATTTACCTAAACATCTCCAGGCTTTCTTCCAGGTCTGATCCTTTTTACCATTTCAATATTTTTAAACGACTTGAATGTCCAAATATTTTACATTATACGGTTTAGAATTCATTCTTGCTTTTTCGCAGTGAAATGCATATTCGGCTGGAACATTAATTTTTCTTGACTTCACACGACGTTCTATTGTGGAATACATTGAATCCACTGGAATCTGGGTGTGTCCCACTTCAAGATACTTATATTCAATTGTTATTTGATATTGTTTTGTCAAATTAATAGCAACATTAGCCAGCACGCTATTACAATTTTGATATGCGCAGCCATCACTCCAAAAAACGATATTTCTATTTTCTTCATCAATGAATTGAATAACGTGGGTTTCAATGAAAAAATGAAAGTAAGATGAAAATTATTCTGTATTAAGCCCCCCTTTTCCCTCGTGCCATAGATAACAATATCCTTCCTTATTATTAATGTCAAAATAACACAAATTATGCACGCACAGTTTCGTCTTATAGTAAAGGCTGCTAATGTTAAATTTTGGTGAGAGTAAAATACCCTGAAGATCGACGGTATTGACAAATTTTTCATTTTCTTTATCTTTTTCTATTTCGCTTTTAGCTTCCCTTGTTCTTGTCATATGGTTGTTATAGTCTTCCTCTGTGATGTAGCCTTCCTTGAATTTATTACAAATTTAGCATTCATCCTTTTTTGGCCTGAATAATGACATATTTTTTGACTCGAATGCTTTTTTGAATGTAGTGCTGCTTAAAGGGTGAATATTTTTGAGTACACACCATTCCTTTTTTTAGAATTTGTAAAGTTCTTCTTTTGAGGTCCACTCGGGCAGTAGGTAATTTTTGCTTGAAGAGGATCTGCAATAATGAGATTCCATTGTTGGTAATGAATCAAGAAACTCTTGTATGCAGTTGTTTTCTGTTTCAAATGGTTTCTTTTTATTTTGTTTTTCATTTCTATATACAATTGGTCTTTTTTTTTCTACATCATCAGCTTTATCTTAAATTGAAAACGTATTTTTCCAATTTTGAATACTCCAACGACCCAAACCTACTGTGTTTAAGTACATTGTTCTACAAACTCTTATTTTCCTGATCGCCTGTTTTTAAATAGTACTTAAAAGCTTGATTTCTCCTTGATTGTTCTGGTACTTTTCTATCTCTTGCCCTCTTAATAAATTCACTCTTTACAGTACTGTCTACGAATACCTTTTTTTCTCTCCAACTTAGGCTCCAAAAATATTCGAATATGTATTTTCTTTGTTGTTCTGTTATTTGACTGCATTTTAAAGTGCCGTTCTTAACTCTACACTGGCATCTCTCTTTGATCTCTCTTGGCTCTCTTTCTATGTCGTAGGACCATTTTCCGTTTACTTTAGTTCTACCAAAGTATCGCTTTCCTTTCTCTCGCCTATTTCTATTCTTCTCTGAAAACCACATTGCCTTTTCCACTTTAAATCTTTTTCGTCGCGTCTTTGTTTTTGTTGGCATTTCATCAGAACTACTATCAGTCTCTGAATATGGCACTAAATTAAGTGTATCGTATTCACTATCATCCGATATGTCATATGCTGATGTAATTTCTTTTGTTTCAAGCCTGCTTATTCCTGCTGGGTTTTCTTTGTATATGACTTTATTTATTTCATGCTTGCCGGTCCCTTGTATACCTTTTGCTTTTTCTGTTCTATAATTGTTAGTCTCTTCTTTATCTGTAATATCAGCTACTATATCAGCTACTTCATGATGTCCTGCCTCTTCCATTTTACTATTGGTATCATTTACATCCATGGTTTCCAATATTTCTGATTCCATAACTACATAATAATTTTCATTGTCTTCAGAAAATGATGATTGGTAATAATTTCATTGTTAAAATTTTCAACGATATGAAAATTATTTACGGACACAATATTGTTAGTATCTTCATTTGAGTTATTATTACATACAGCTTGCCTGGTTGCTAATTTTAAAATGTCCTGTGTTTGTTTTGACATAACATCTGTAAAATAATAAAATATCTAGCAGACTATTCAAAAAAATAATAACAAATGGTTTTTGTATGCCTCATTGTACTAAATTACCATTGTACTTAAATATCTAAACGAAAATTGATATAAAATTAATTTGATCTTATATTTACAATAATTTACATGAAGCATCCAACTTCTTAAACTAGTTAGGTAGACTACTTTTCAATGGACCCTATTCAAGTGATTTTTTACAAAATAAAAGCAATTTATTTATTCATGGATAGTAAAAAAAAACAAAGAAAACCTGCTATATCCAAATCTTCACTTGCACTTAGGGCACACGATAAGCCGCTAACTCCAAAATTAGGTTAATTGGATTATTTTATCTTAAAATGGTCAATTTTATTAAAATACATTATGAAATATTAAATATGCTATTACCTTTTATATTAAAATAATACAGAAAAACAAAAATACTGGCACTAAATAAGAAAAAAAAACTGAAAACTTTGAGAGTCAAAATAACACGTGCACCTGTTGCATACAATTAGCGCATCATACAACATAAAGTTGACTGGTTATCAAGGTTGCCAGGTCGAAAAATCAAAAATCACTAAAAATATGTCCAAAAAATCACTAGATCGAATAAAAAATTATTTTTTTTATATTTGTGTGTACGTATATTAACGTAGTAATATGTAAAAAGTATCTATCAAATAGAAAAGATCGGATACTTTGCTAGGTTTGAAATATCCCAGATATTTTGTTTATAAAAGATGAATAAATTGTATACTTTGAAACTGCATTTTAAGTTGCGTAATGTTATGTAAAACTAGTATGTATTTTAGGACCGATTCCACAGTTGTGTTAAACGAATTTTAAAATGACATTTTTACATTAACAATGTCACTTTAATCTCCGTTTAACACAACGGTGGAATCGGCCTTTAGAGAAATATTATGAAATATATAAATCATATTATTTGCAAATAAATGGGCTTTTGTACTTTTAAAGCAAAAACGGATTGTCACATTACTATTTTGTTACCAAGGTAGATCATCATGGCATTATTTCCGTAGATGCTTTTAACTTTTTCTAGTATAGTTTTCTAAAAAGACACCTTATTAAACTGAGAGTAGTAGAAGATAGTGAGTGCAGATTCTGTGAGGAGGAAGACAAAATCTCCATTCATATTCTAACTGACTGTGTAGCACTCCAGAATCCAAGGGCACTATACCTAGGATCATATAAACTAGAAGAGGTAGATTAACCTAAGTTGAGGCCACTCCACATCCTACACTTCCTTGAGAAAATAGGATTTGAAGGGACGTTATAGGCATTAAGACATTTCCTTGCTGCATTAGCAACAGAAAAGGGCACAATAGATCTTTTAGGTCGCAGTGTATTAACACTATTCTCAAAATAACAGTCTATTTTTGAATTCAATTTAATTTAAAAAAATCACTAGAAATGAGGTATTTAACGAAAGTTTTCACTAAATCACTAGATTGGTTTAAAATTCACTAGATCTAGTGAAATTTCACTAGACCTGGCAACCTTGCTGGTTATCGTGCGTCACAAAATAGATCATTTCTACACAGTTAGCTGGTTTATAGGTCGATGCAAGGCGCCATCTAGTTGACAGATATCGAAAAATCTCAAAATCGTAAAATATGGAGTTAGCAGGTTAACACATGTAGGCGATGTATGATTAATAACATGTCGGTGCATTCAAATGTTATTGACATTACCGTCCTATCAATAAATGTCAGTTTTCCATAACTAACTCAGACAAAACCATTTTGAGGTTTGCGACGTACCCTAAACTTTTTTAATGGTGGACATTTTGACCACTTATTCTAACTGATTGCATTTTAGTCAAATTTATTTTAATTTTCTTCTTGTGATTCTTTGTTTAATTAATAACATTAGCATTAGAATATTGTTTTTCTTTTGGCTTTTAATAAATAGGTAATTTTTTTGAAAGATACTTGCTTTATACTATCATCAGTTATTATTTCATCATTTTCAAAAAAAAATATTCCAGAAACGGTACCCAGGATCGAGTTTTATAAAGAGTACTTTTTTGGTGTAAAATTTAATGGTGTTTAAGTTCACATAAAATTTGGACTAGAAAATTTAACCTCAAAAAAGTTATGTTCAAAACTATTAGGTGCGAACCATAGATTACTAATGTGAATAGATGGAAAACTCAATGGTAATATTCTGAGTCGATGTGCTGCCATCTATCAAATTGGAGTGGTACTAAAATTCAATATGGCCACTTAGCGCGGGCTTTTTGAAATTTAACTTTCTGCAAGTCGCGCAAAAATATAATGAAGAAAATCAAACAAAAAAAATAAATTGGCAAAATATTTGACTAGTTTAAAATCATAAAACAACCATATTGACTGTTTTGTGATTTGAAACTAGTCAAATATTTTGCCAATTTATTTTTTTTGTTTGATTTTCTTCATTATATTTTTGCATTAATTTCAAACTTGAAATAAAATGCAATTTATTTTATTTTATTTTTTTATTACAGTAAATTAACGCCGCATCATATAATTTGTCTATTTAAACATGGAAATAGGTACTCAAACAAATATGCATTTATACTATTTAAATAATTAAATATTTATAAAACAAACCTATCAAAAATGTTTTCCGTAACAAATTCGACATATTTGAGTGCTCAAGACCAATATAAAAGTTTCGCAACTTGAAGTGGCAATAAGTTTGAAAAAACTTAAGTTGAAGCATCATCCTTTTGGTGTCTTACAATCAAGGCGAATTTGAGGGTGGATAAAATTTGCCATATGCTTATTGAGTCGACTAGTTAAGTTGAGGAACATTTCTTCATCCGATATTGTTTTATTGATTTATTTGTACAGCACCTGTAGTTATCAAATTCTTATTCATCATCTGAGCACTGTGATAAATGAATTTAACTTTCGAGCTTAAATTAAACTTACACACGTTTGGACCTTTGAAGATTTTGGGGTGTTTTCTTGTTTGATGTCAATGGCATTGAATCAAATTTTGATATTGATGGCTAAGGCTCAAATATTTCATCGATCTACAGGGTATTTTGAAGGGCCAACATTTTCTATATAACAATGATCATTTAAAAACTGAAAACAAAAAGAAATTTAAATAACAAACCAATTATTTTAACACTGAATCAAAAACAAGTTTGTAAATATTACTTACCATTGATATGCCAGTACAAGATGCATTTTTCTTAAGACACTTATTACAAATTGTATGTTTATCCTTAATATGATGACCGCATATTTAATACGTGGTATAAATTGCATCACTACCAATATCTGGGAGTGCTTCATTGTTCGTTGATGAAATCCATGTTCCCATCTCTTGAAAACATGCTTAAAATTGGAAGATATTGAAAAATAAATCTAGATGAATCAAAATTGAATACACCTTCAAATGCGACAGACATTTTAATTTTTCTAAGTATGAAGTTTTGTTGACAAGCTGACAATAACTGACATGACATTTCGATACGAGCGCCATCCCGTTAATTGGAGTGGTACTAAATTACCGTCCTCATGCTTTTCCATTTGAGTTACCAGCCCCTGGTGCGAACTGTATAACTAGCGCCCTCTATGAGAGGCAGATATAAAAACAAGTGTATGCGATGTGCCAGGTTTCAAAACATATTTGTACAAAATTTTATTACAATGTTGCCAGTAGTTTCGACATAATCGTAAAAAATGTGTACATTTCTTTTTTTTTAATACCCTGTATCTTGAAAACGGATTCCATTACGAAATTTTTTTACTAAGCAAATCCAACTTATTTTGCAGTGTTCTACTTATTATAGCAACGGGGCCATCTTTCTTAAAACACTCTGTATATTCAGCTGAAACAGATGTATTTAGATATTAATAAAAACGCAAAAATGTCTAGATTTCTTCCCAATTTACTAGATATTTTTATACGTAATTATTAATTATTTATTAAAAACATGATAATTGCTGCACATGAAGTTTTATAATTAAAAAATCTTAACACGTTCATAATAACCGGCACGTAGAGAGAAACAAAGCTATAGTAAGTTTAAAGGTGAAGAGAAAGATACATTACGAATCCATGAAATTGGCGGTCAGAATAATTAATTATGGCGTAAACCTATTATTTATTGTTATAATATTCATTATTCTAAAAGCAAAAAATGATTATCTTGTTAGGAATTTTTTTCATTTTGGCCTTTCTTTTTCATCCTGTAATTTTTTAATTTCTTTAGAAAGAGGCAAGTTATTGATGTAAAAATATAATAGTAAAAAAGAAATAATAAAATAAGGTTGTTCAGAATGAAATCTATAAATAAAAAAATCCTAGTTGTCTACCTGTTTTTTTACTCGTTTTGCAGATTTTAATAGTTTTTCCAACGGTGGATCAAACAGGGGAAACAATATCAAAAGCTGCAGAAAAATTGTGTTTCGAAATAACATCTTCCAATTCCGATTTGACAGCTCTAGAAGAATATCAACAAAAATTGCACGATTTAGTCGTCATCGACACTAGGGTATCCAAGGCACTGAATTACGATACACTATGTCGGTAAGTCAAAAATAAATTATTAATAAATATACAGGATGATCTCTTTCATCAATATAATAATCCTATTCATTTCCTTTGTTTTTAAAAAAATATAGAAAATACAATCAAAATAACCTACATATGAATATTTGGTGGTAGATATACAGGGAAAATCAAAATATTTTACTCAGTAATACATAAAATATGTCGCTCCTTTTAAATTGAAAAAAATGATCAGAATGTTATTTGAAAATATAATTGGTAATTAAAAATTATATACGAGTATAAAATCATGACCTTCTATTTACATAAATGATCTACTGGAGTGTTTACAGGAAATTTTTTGAATTTTTATCTAACAATTGATAATTTACTAAATACAAGGCCATGAATCTAAAATTGAGCGTCATTTTTAATTTCTATATCTACTTTATTTACTTTTCGCTATGCTTAAAACATTATTTTCCTTTTATAAGTAAATCAAAATTAATTATTTCCTTTATAAAAATGGTAAATTTATGGACCTACTTAGAAAATTATTTGTTAACAACCTAAAATTTTTCTCTCTCGACAATGTAATCTCATTTATCGTTAAGATGCTTCTAAAAAGGCGAAAAAGAAAAGAAAGTAAATCCGATTTACTCCAAAAATATTATCGAACAAAAGAGACTTTTTTCTTGGTTTGATAATATAAAAAAATCGTGGCATTGTTAAATGAATACGACTACCACCAATCTGGGATATATATTGGTTTATGACGATTTAACAAAAAAAAAAGAATAAAAAATAAAAAAAAGAAAAATCACGGGAAAAGCTGGCTTTGCGATTTTTGTTTTCTTTTATAATGCGTATCGCTTCAAGAAACGAATGAGGTCATGGACGTCCTTCAAACACAAATAAGGACGTAGGAGAGACGACACCCCAATTATTATGAATGAAGCGGTTAGAAAAATCTCATCATTTACCAATATTGTGAAAAAACGTTTCATAAAAACTCCAGATGTATTTCTCGTATCTTGCCAGTGGTTTTCATGAGATTTAGATAGCCGAATTAATAAAAAAAAGTTTACTGTTATAGAGAACATTGCAATGGTCGAAAAAAAATTACAGGGTCTATTGCCATTATCGAGTTATACAGTGAAATAAAAAGCCATTTTTTTTTCAACCAATAAAACTGTATTTAACAAAATTTTAAAAATTTGACAGGGAAAAGTTTATTTGACTTGAAATTTGCACATATTACCCGCAATAGACGCAGAAGCTGACAAAAAAACATCAAAATAAAGAGAAAGATAGATGGCCACACCAGTAACTCGTTTCCATTCGAGTTGTTTTGGACTCAAAAGTTGTTTCATTGTGCGAAGCTTCCGATGCTTCTAGGTTTACTGATGTTATGTGACTTTGGACTTAAGTCAAATGAAAAATGCAAATACAATACATTTTTTACATTAGGTACAGTGGCGATTTCTCCATTGGTTTATTAGTCCTGTTAAATTTTATAAAAGCGCCTTATTTTAAAATCACATAAATACCATAAACAAAAAATTCAATTTTATTATTTTTATTATTTTCATACATGTTAATCCTATTTTTTGGTACGCCACTACGCTCTCAGTTAAAAAGAAAGGTTAACAGATCCGTGGAACAAACAATGTCACTACTTAAAAGTACGCTATTTTGTGCATCGCACAAAAACAAGGTGTGGCGTCACAAAGTAGGGCGGAGCATACGAATCTTTCCAAACAAACATTATAAATCCCCATAAGATAATTTTAATTTTGTTTATTTAAAAATTGTATTTAAATAAGAACCGCGACTTTATTAAATCGGAAGTATATGTGTCAATTCAACGATTTTTACCGAAAAACGTCTCCAAGGTAAAGCATTTATCATTATTTTAAGCATAACAGTATTTTTAAGGATATATTATTTGTTTACTTGCAATTTGAAACAATAATTTAGTTTTACGACTGGAATTTATGTTTTGTTTTTTGTTCCAGTGTCTAAAACTACTTCGGTATAGTCCTGTGTTTTGTACACATTTGTAAGTACTATGCAGAGAGCAAAACATTTATAAATTTTTTGTTTCCTACAAAACCTGTTAAGGAAAAAATAAATTATTTTATAACTACTTCGCTGCATAAGTAGGGCTTATAGGAGACAAAATAGACATCAATTGTTTTGCAGTTCTCAGTTTACAAATGGTTTAACCGATGATGGCATAATAGCCGAAATTTATAAATAACAATTTACTTTTATATTTTACGTGTACTAATAAACAAATTACACAATGCTGTCTAAACTAATTGTCAATATATTTTGTAGTAATTGAGATTAAATATATGTAATCAAAAACCAATGATTCTTGGGAATAATCGATAAATAATCGTATTTACAAAGAAATTGTAAATTTTAATCAAACGATCTAAAAAAATCAGTTATAAATTTTAAGCCATAAAAAATGTCATAGTGAGTGAAGTGTTTCCATTTTATAGACCAGGATTCAAATTCCGGCTCCCTTAGTAAATTTTGTTTTAAATTTTTTTATTAGTGAAATTTATAATTTAAAATTTCTGCGTTAATTATCTTTTAAGTAGTTATTATTTCTTAACAATCTCTAAATTAATTTCGTAGATTTTTCGTTACTTAGTTGTAGAACAAATTTTCTCTATCGCACTTAGATGTTATAGCCTTCATATCCATCTCTTATTGCACAAATTACTGTTCAATAATATAATTATATTGAACTTTGACACTGTAGCATGTTAGATTTGGTTGTAATTTACAGGGTGGTCACTTTTTAGTTAAAACGTATTGCTTGCAAAACGTTAATGACACAAGATTTGAATGAATACAATTTGGCAAAAATAAATATTAATTTTCTGTACTTCTTTCAAATAAAAGTTCTCAATATCCAACAAAGATATTTGTGGGACAAGGAGCATCATACCCCCACATACACTCTAATGTGTCTCCCATCAGAGATAAGATCTTTTATATTTTCTCTTACGAATAAATTGTATATTAAAAAAAAAAACTCCGAAAACAGGAAGCAACAGGAATAGAATGTGTGCTGCCGCTGCACACCGTATTCATTGAGAAAATTGGGGCCTGAACAGAACCTAATAGAGATACTTTTCGCTCCCTCAACGGTGGCTGTGGCCCTACAAAGCTCGTAGAAGGGTGGCGGCAAGGCGAGCGGGGAATTAAATCGATAGAGCAGCAACAAGTGAACTTTATGCTAGAGGCTCTATTTCGGTTTGCCTTCGTTCTTCCGTAAAACAAAATGAATAATATCATTATTATTATGTTTATTTAAGTTCGAATAACAAACATAAATTTGATTTTTCTGGGACAGATTTGTCTTTTTGTGATTTTTTACACATATTTGATATTTTGCTAGTGATTTTTTGGGATTTGGGTGTTGTACTTAATAAAAAAACACTGAGGTATACGTTTAATAGTTTCAGTACTTAATGTATTCAGTACTCTTATACTTATTGATAATATTAAATATTAGTTTTAAGATCGATGTTTGTTAGGTAATAATTTTGATTTATTAGCTTTAATACCGTCCTGTAATCTTCCATTTTAAATAATAATTGTATGAAAGAATTAAGATTTTTTAAAGTAAGGATAAAACGATTTTTCCTTTAGGTTTTTTAACTAAAAAATAAGACGACAAAAATTGATTTTTGGTAGTACTGCTTTTCCTAATAGCGCCTATTTCCAAGAGCTCCTGGATGGCATACTCATATTTTTTAAATTGTGTAGGAGTTATGCTAACCCTAGGTTCCTTTGACAGAAAAGGTTTTGTTTTGAACAGAATTTGTATTACTATAACCCAACCAAGAACCACCTGGTTCTGTGTAATGGTTTTCCGAGTATGAATAAATGTAGTTAGATAACCAGCATATGACTTTACCTGTGGCGATGAATCTTCTATTTGCGCCGGAATTAAGTATATTCCTGTCTCGGTTTCCTGTACTGATTCTTGAAGTTGACCGACTCTCTCTTCCTTTCTTTGAATTTTGTCTTGTATTAGAATCGCTTGTAGTTTAAAAACTTCTGTGTACCAGATGGCCCGGCTTCTGATATTCTTGCAGGTTTAAATGTTTATTTCTTTAATTCAAAACTTGCTTTCCTAAGTGCCCTGGTCGTGTTTCAATACTTCTGAAAAGTTTTTGCTGAATAGGAACTCAACCAGCTCCAATGAGTCTACGACTTTCTTTCAATTTAGATTTAAATAAGAATCAATTTTAAATTTTCTGTGTACCGATAGTGCATTGTGCGAATTGGTAAAAAGTTGGAAGGCTTATGGTAGAGTTTTTGCTTTTTCTGACTAGTCTTCCTTTTGTAACATATATTTAACACCACAGCTACAGCGGTCAATCCGTGACCTAATTGCCTCTGAAGAGCCATCACAAATTTATCATGTTTCAGTGCAGCTTCGGGTAAACATGGTAAAACCTTGCTATTAATCTGAGGTGGTAACAAGAATTTGCAGTTCATTGGAATTTTATGCTTTATCATAATTTCGTTTCGTTCCGACAAGCTAAGTCCCTTGAGTAAATATTTTTCCCATCGGACTACAAGTTCTTTGTTAAGAGGCTTTCCATCTTCTGAGCTCTTGTCAGGTCTAGTAATAATTTTATTCTCTTCAACATCTTCTTGTATCAACCATTTGTATAGAAGTCTAAAGTCGGTAATAGACATATAGTTGATATTGATATTAGATTCGGAAGCATGCATAATATCATGATATGACGCTGACAGTGATTCGTATTCGTGATCCGAAAAAAGGGATTCGAATCACTTGATTCGAATCCTTTTTTATTGCAAAAAGGTAAATAAACACTAGAAAATAATTCAGAAAAGCCATTTACAATAGACTGAGACGTTTCATAGATTGAATTACTTAACTGCATTCTGCCAGGAATTCTAGATTTATTGTTTTTGCTATTTATAAATGCCCAGAATTTATTTGGTTCTAATGATACGTCTCTTTCTATTTCTTGAAC